ATAATACCGAACACGTCGCCTATGATTACTAAAGGCCCCGTCCTTGACCGCTACTATGCTTTTGCGCTAACCGCTACTGCTCACGCTTCATGGCTACCTACCGCTCCTCCCTTTGTCCTCCCTTGGTCCTCCCAGCTTCCACTTCTCGAGACTATCACGAGCCAGCCATAACTTGACGAGTGTCACATTGTGCTCGGCTCGCTAGCAGAGCCAGCACGTGGTAACTGTAAACGATGCACCGGCATCATTCAGCGCTCAGTCTAGTGCCACAACGGATATGCCGCGACGGGCCACGTATGGCCAGGTGTGAGGCCTCTTTTCAGTGTGAGTGCGAGCCCGGTGCCGAGCCTGCATCACAATGGACCGAGGAACTATCCGAATCACCGTATGATTCAGTGTTCCGCACCGAGCGCAGACGTGCGCTACCAAGCGAAGTGCCCCCGCGCACCAGCAATCCGGGTCACCTGTTGACTCGACGGCTCACGATCCAGGTCATCATCTAACACCGTGGGCTACGATGACTCACGTCATGGACTGCAACCACTGCTTCCGTGCACTGCAGCGAGTGCACAAGTGCTATTCGTCGCGTTCGTCCGTCGCGTTCCGCGTTCGTCCGTCGCGTTTCCCACCCTCCCTCCCTGTGTTGCGTTCTCGTCGTGCCTGTTGTGTGCCTTGCGTCCTTCGCCCTTCAGGCGTCGGCCTCTGCTTTGTCCTGGTCAAAGCTCTTGCCCTGGGTGGGGGAGGTGTGTAACGTGCGTCTCTCTCGATTAATTGCTTATTGTTGTTTGTCTACGCTAACCGTCGCTTCTATTTTAGTGGGTTTAGGATTAAATAGTTTGTAGTTCGATTTTACCTGCGTGGTGGCCCTATTTCAATTAGACATCTTTAACGTTCATTATCTCTGCCATATGGGGCCGACTTTGCCGACTTCGCCGAACGCCGCTGCGCTGTCGTGCCGCCGCGCCGCCGCCCAGCCGTGGCGCCGCGCCGCCGCCCAAAGCCGGTTCGTCACGGTGTCACGCATGTCCATCTTCTGAGGATTTAGCGGCGCGCGCTATTCAACTATCTCGGCTCTGCCCTGTACTTAACAAAAGCTTTAGATCTACCGTTTACATACCTGTCCATCATAGTTTAGTCACACTTAGTCAGTACCGGGTGAGCCTCGGGCAGTGCATCTCCCACCTCCGACGAGGTAGTGACCAATCGCAAACTGTGTAACCATATATGAAATCCTCTCCTGGCCAATAGTAAGCTGCCACGTAGGCTAGAGGGCTACGCCCCAAGAGTAGGATAGCTTTGCTGAAGTCTCCCGATCGGGGGGACCGGCAGAAGACCTAGAGCCACCACCGGCGCCGGACGTGTTACCAGTCCGGGAAGACCACAGGGCTCCACAGCCGCTGGACGCATAACATCTGCTCCGCGTGCTTGTGAGAAGACCCCCGGCGGCCACTGAGGCCGGACGTGTACCTGCATCGGTCTCGACCGACACTGTAGCTGACCACCTCGCTCTGTGTTGTGCTCGACAATACACCTGGACCGGCAGAGCATCTCTCTGGCAAGGGCTGACTACAACACCGGCGCGCCCCGCCCTGGGCACGAGAAACCGCCGTGTTACATGACTCAGCCTCTGACCGGACGGGCCGCGGCGGCCGGACGCCGGCGGCAGTGGCAGGGGCGCCGAGCGACGCGCGCCGAGTCGACTTCAGACGGGGAACTCCAGATTATACTGCCGCCAGGAACTAGCGTGATACATTCTTTTCAGCGGTATCATACGGTATCAGTCCAAATTTGCCTAACTGGCGACATTCGGCGGACAATGGTGGCGCCGACAGGGCTATTGATGTGCGGGTTCACGCCCGGTTAGGCCCGGTGTCGCGGCGCCGTTTTATGTCGCCGTTTGCGGCGGCGGCGGCGGCGCCAGCTCGCGCCTTTGGTGCCTGTCGCGTGCTATTGATTGCCACTCGGACCGCTGTGACGGCCGCCGCCTCGGAGCTCAGCGGGGCCGCGACCGGTCGTTCTGGGTGGCTGCTCAGGTAATCCCAGGCAGCCCGTGGAACTGATGTGGCTGACAGACTCCCTCAGCAGCCGCCCGGCGCAGCGCCGCCGGCCGAGCCGCACCCGTAAACCTGGAAAATGAACCGGCCGGCTGCAGATGAGCCGGGGATTTATCTCATCAGTTCGGCCCCTGGGATGCCTCTGTTTTTAAGTCGGTGGCGCTGCGACTTCTCTACGTCCCCCAGGTGTTAGCTGGTGTTGTGATATGTCCTAAAGCGGCTCCCATTCGTTTTAAAATTTGGCGTCTGACCGGAATGGTCGGCGTGTTGAGCAGAGGCCTGATCACGCCCCTCCGTCGGGGGACGGCCACCTCTCCGACGGGACCGGAAGACTGGCTGATCGATCCGCTCTGAGCCGCTGACTCACGGGTCACTCATCCCCGGCTCAGGGGCAGCGTGTGCCGAGTCCCGGCCGGGGGCCGCTCTCCTCTCCGTGACTCAGCTCTGTGCCCCCTAGGAAGGTGGTAGGACTGCAGATCCCCGCCGGCTCGCCGGGCCGGTCTCCCGCAGTCTGACTCAGCGGAATGACGTCAGTCTGATCTCGCCGGGGACCGGGGGCGCGCTAATTGTGCGCACCCCTCGCGGCCGGGTGATAATCAGCTCAGGACTTCCCAGAGCGCCCTCGTCAAACTGTCGGAAGAGAGCGGGATTTGTGACAAGTTTGAAAGTGACAATCAGAACTCGGAGCTGAGGCTGAGCTTGGCGATAATCTCCACCACGCCTCCTGATCAATGGTACCAGGACACTGGGTCTTTGTATGATCAAATCATATATTACTTGTCCATCATTATAATTTGGGCTGCACAATGGTGTTCGATAATGGAGATCCTGAATAGGGAGTATATTGGAGATGTGTTGTCCAGACGTTATTACGTGCCGCCTGTTCCCACTCCCTATGTGTGCCTGGCGTGCGTGCTCTGCCTGCTCCGTCTGCCGCATCCCGCCGCGTGTCGGCACAGCGGCGGCGACCCATTTCTCGGCGATCGGTGCCGACCGCCGCTCGTGCGACACGCCGGTCGGCGTACTTTTGTTCACGTGTCGACGGGCGCATTAGTCAGCAGAATGGCGGTGGGAGGCGGCCATTCAGCGAGCGGGTTGTGCCGGGTTCCGGATCGGGTAATGGGTGATGGGCGGGTGGGCGATGGTCTGCGGCGGGTCCGATTGGTCTCCGCGAGGTCTGGTATTGGGTGTGCTAATTGTGCCTGGTGTGTTCTGGTGATGGTCTTCAGCTCTCCATGTGGTCTCCAGGTTTTTTATTGGCTTTGATATCGGTCGTTGGGTCTAGTAATGGTATCCGACCTTTTCTGGACTTCGGTAGGTGGTTTGCAATTACAGGCCTGGTATGGGTATGGGTCTGGTTTGGTTTCCGGACGGAGTGTGTTGGCACCTGCTAATGACCCGGCTGTTAATGGCGCTGTGGGAAGCGGCGTGCTGCTAATGACCCCGACCACATTTCTCAATAGGTGAGCGGGTTGAGGGGGTGAATGTGGGGAGAGCTATCCAGCAGCGGACTGAATCACTGTCTGGTGGAATACGGGGAGAGTGGGCGAAGTGCTATTATTGTAGCCATGCTCTCTGTCAGAGTTCTATCAGTTCTCTTCTATGCTCAGCGGCGGGCGGTTCAGGACAGTCTCCCGACCTCGGGTAGGCCAGGGCCGCCATACCACCGCCACCACCGGCGGCTACCACACGCCATAATCACATCACATTTGAACGGGCCCTGGGGCGGCGGCGGCCGGCGGCCCGAGGGCCTGCGGTGCCGACCGGCGCCGAAGGTCGGACACCGCCCGGCCGGCCGGCCTAGCCCCTGGGAACCCGCCGCTAATGGTGGCGATAACGCGACGGCGCCCGCGTGATTAGCGTGATGATGTCGTTGCCCTTCGCGGTTGTGCCGGTGGTGAGGTCATTTGGCGTTGACTGTGTGTTGGACGAATAGAGCCCTCGGGTTGTTATGGATTTACAGCAAGGATTGTGGAACGCTGTTCTGCTATCCCGTCTTGTCGGCGTCGCTAATAGTCGCCGCTCACTGACATTTCTAAATCTCGGAAAGGTCTGTTTTCGTCGAGCTGTGTAAACCAGCGGCCCATCCATTTTCAGACACATTTGTGCGTAAGCCTCTTAAACCTGCTCTCCGGCTTTTTGCTCTCCTCTCAGGCGCAGCTGAATCCCGAATCAGCTGGGCGGAATCCGGCGGAATCTGTGCGAATCTGGAGAGATTTCGGTGCGCGGCTCATTTCCCGCCGGTCTCCCGTTGAGGCCCGATTAGAATGCGCCGGATGTAGGCTGACAGAGGCCGCCGTCTCAGTCGGGCTTACCTTGGCCGCCGTAAAAAGTGCACCGGTCGGTGTAAACCCACCGGCGCGCCGCGGGGATGTGCGAGACGGGATGACAAGGATATATAGCCGTCTGCCGGTCGGCTGGTCGTGGTGAAGCTGTATGTTGCTCGTGCGACAATTATTGTCCAGCAGTGCTTTGTTGTAGATGACCTTTTGCCAGTCCGTCCGTGCTAGTCGTCTGAAAAAGGTGGAATGTTCTAAAGGAGAACTGACGTCTTCCGTTTTCACAATAGTGGATGGTTATGGTATTCAGAGGTCATAAAACGCACGCCTGCTGTATTTGAGGCCATATTCCGTAACAGGGGTTCCTCAGTGTGAGACCAGTGTGGACCGCCTCACACTCCCAGTGACCGTCCGTACCACTACCGCCGTTCATCAGCCGGTGTCAACATCCTGCCGGCGACGGGCGCGACCCGCGCTCCATGTTTGTTGAGGCGTTTCTGGTTACGCAGCGAGAAGTGGCCTGACCCGCCATGACCCGCCGTGACCCGTGTGACCTGCCGTGCCCGATCGTGATCTATCGTGTTTGGCTGTGATCTTATCTGCCGCCGTGTGGCTCAGACGAGCGGTCCGAGACGGCTCAACTGACCTGGATTTTCCTTTGTTACAGAAAATCGACCCCGAGCGGATATTTACCAAACAAGAACGGATAGGCAAGGGGTCGTTTGGAGAGGTGTTCAAAGGCATCGACAACCGGACACAGCAGGTGAGCGGCCGGGGAGGCTAGCCAGGGGAGGGGGGGGGGAATCATGGTCTCTCACTCTGTCCGTCTTCCATGCTATCTCTCCTCTCTTCAATTCCTCTCGCTTCCTGTCCTTCCTTCCTGTTATTTTTACCCTTTCTCATCCCCTTTTCCCTTATTCCCTTAGGTAATAGGTATAGTTTAATTCTTAAAAAAAAACATTATTTTCTCCCTCTTTGCACGTCTGTCTGCCCCCCCCCCCCACCACCACCTTTCTCTCTCTCCCTCTGTCTCTATCTCCCCTCTTCCTCTCTCTCTCTCTCTCTCTCTCTCTCTCTCTCTCTCTCTCTCTCTCTCTCTCTCTCTCTCTCTCACTTCCCTCTCCCTTCCTCCTTTCCTCCGCCTCCTCTCCTCGGCCTGTTGCTCCGTCCGCCGGCGTGGCGGTGCGGTCGGCCAGTGCCGGCAGCGGCGCCCGCGGTCCGCCGGCGGTGGCCGCCCGCCCGCCGCCGTTTCACTCACCTTTCTCCCGCCGGCGACGGCGCCTCGGTTGACCTGAGTGGCCCCGGTGACCTCCGGTGACCCGTGTGACCTGGCGAGGGACCGGCCGAGGCGACAGGGCCGCCGCAGGGCGACGAGTTCCGGTGACGCTCATAATCTGACTTTTGATTCATTCATCGCTTTCTTTTGCACTTCCTCGACTCCAGGATGCCTTTCATTTTGTTTAAGTAAAATATGACCATAGGCGTAGCCGATGGTGCTCATCATTTGCATGCATAATCATGTGGGAGTGCCACAATAATGTATTTTGATGTGACCTTTGACTGTCTTTATTACGGAGCGAGCGAAGCGAGCGTAGTCTTTCCTTAGATTAACGGAAATTTCTGAGTATGAGCGGCCGGCCGGCCGGCCGGCCGGCCGGCCGTGCGGACGCTTTTGCGAGGCTTATATCTCAGCAACCACTTGACCGATTTACATGCGGTAAATTTTGTAGGGTAGCTTCATTCCTTCTACCAAGTATTGGACTATTCCCGATGCATGTGGGTGACCCCTTATGCACGTGCCACGTGCAAAACGAAGAGGTGTCAGTTTTGTAATTGTTGCAATATCTCGGTAACTACTTGGCCGATTGCGCTGAAAGTTGGCATGTAGATAGGCACCCACTAGGCACTGCATATCCATGTGCCAGAGTTGGGGTGCTGCTGCACGTGCGCACGTGCAGGGGTCATTTCCAGATCTCGAGAACGGCTGGACCGATGGCGCTCAAATTTGGTACACGGTTAGGGACCAGTTAGTAGGGTGCCGTGCACAAGTCAGTTGGGACCCATTTTGCACGTGCGCACGTGCAGGGTGCCGCTCCCAGATCTCGAGAACGGCTGGGCCGATTGTGCTCAAATTTGGCACATCGCTAGAAACCGGTCAGTAGGGTGCCGTGCACAAGTCAGTTGGAGGTACCCCCTCGAAATTTCGCACGTGCAAGACTCACCCCTCGCTCGCTCCGTTAGTCGCCCCAAAAGGCGCTATACTGGTGCATAAAAATAAGTACCACGGGTGACATTTTTCGGAGGTGCAACACCTTCGGGGTAACGTTTTAAAAAACTGTGTTGTGTGTGACGCAGTCTGGTCTCTCATTAGTGACTGAGATCCGATGTTCCAAGGCCCATTCCCTCCCTCCCTTGTTACGCACCTGTAACTACTGTGGCTGCTCGCTCGCGTGATTACCTTCTTGTGGCGTGGCTGTCATCCTGCCCAGCTCTTACACTCGCGCTGGTTGTCGGACCGGGCTGTGCGGCGGCGGCATGTCGCGGCGTTAATGGCGCCATTCGGCGCCGGTGTCGACAGCCCAGTCGGCAGTCACGAGCAGCTCGCGCGGTGACGGCGCGTGCACCGTGCAGGAGAAAGTACCCGCTCGACGGCGGGTCCCCGGAACACAGTCTGCCTGCCCGGGAGGCAGACTTTGGGCCATACCCGGGGCTGTGTGCTTCTTTGTGAAGGGGATATGGACAGAACGGTTGTATGCTCCTGTGAAAAGCGTTTTGGGGTGACCTGCGGCGGTTGTGGGCTATAATGAGAAGGGGTAGGGCCTGGGGCGACTGCGAGTTCCTGTGGGAAGCCGATTAGGACGTGACGTGGGACTGTACATAAAGCTGTCGCTGCAGTGTGCTCTAGTTAGTAAGCCGCCGCGGTGAGGGTTGCAGAAAACTGGGTTGCGTTGGGACTGTTGTTAGCGCATTTGAATTTCACTGATTCTTTCCGACGCTGTCTTAGGAATGAGCTAAATAGAACGATGCATTTTCTTTTCGCGAATGTTTTCCAGTCAAACTGAGCATGTAAACGGTCCGGCTCGTGATATCTAGCCACTATCCAGGGTATGCAGCTTGTTACTTGCCGAACAATTTCCCATCGATTGGCTGTTTCATACCAAGCTGCAGAAATCACATTGGTGCACTGGCGGATCCAGACTTGCGTTTTGGGGGGGGGGGGCAACTCCTGCAAGTAACCAAACCTAGGGTACCCCCAAATCCTGTTTTCTCATCGGATTTAGGCCACTTATTTTTTCGTCACAGCCCTGAAACGATATTTTTTTAAACTAAAAATAAAAAAATATAGAAATGGTAGCCCACCCAACCCGAGCCTAAATATTACTTTGAAAACACTTCAAATTGCTTTTGTCGACCAATTAGCCCGCTCCGGGTCGGTGCGTGGCGCAGCCTTCGCGGGCTGGGAGGTGTCGGTTGGACCCCCTGCCGTTCGGCCCCTGATTAAGCTAGAGCTCGCGGAAAAAAACAGGCGTGTTGCCCGTGAGTGACGAGACGAAGCCGATGATACCCGATTTTAAGGTCCTTGGTCATTGGTTGACCTTCCAGGGCGGTGTTTCACGGTCGTGCTGACAGCCGCTGACAGCGCATTCTGCGAGCTAAGGTCAGCCTTCGGTAGTGTTGTGGGTATAGGCTTGTTGATGTCTCCATTGAAACCAAAAGTGCCATCAGCGCTGGCAGCGGCTGGCAGCGTGCCGTGAAACACCGCCCAGGTCAGGTCACAGACCCAAAAGACGGGAAAATCAGGACCTGTCAGAACCTCCTAAAGTAAGGCTGTAATACGTTTTTTTTTTGTGCTGATCACAAATTTCATGTTAGTTTGGATCATAGATAATGTCTTCATGCGTTTAGGCCATGTCGGGGCAGGTCAGGTCAGATCAACCAGTAGGGGTACTTATGGGCGTCCGTATAGCAGGTGTCCACTACCACTGGCAGCTACGTAACATGATACGAAGGCATCAAAACTACTTCGTAAATGTTCAAATGGCTGCAAAATGCTAAATTCAAAATCAGCTAAACGAAACTATCCTAGAAACATGTTAAACTCGGAAAAGTGCACCGAGGTCATCAAAGGTCAATGACCTGACTTGACCGTAAGGTGACATTGGCATCCGCCCTAATGCGTGGGAGCAACATCATATCACATGTTTGAGCGTTTTAAACCACGAAAAGACTATAAAAGCGCGGATAATGTGAGCCGACATACGCCGAATCGCTATTCCGGCCAAACATGGCCTCCAACATGGCCAAACAGTCTCGAGAAATAGGCCACAAGTCAAAGTTCACTTGGGTCAGGGTCATGAAAATTTCAGAATTTGTCACCATGAGGGTACTAAAGTTTCGTCGCGATCGGCTTCATGATACCTTACACGATAACTTCACACGTCGATCGAGAGTTAAAGCATGGATGAAGGAGAACCTGGGGATGAAGGTTCTTTCATCCATGGTTAAAGTGTGCAATAAGAACTTCTTGGGTGAAGACAAGACCAACACTTTTATCAAGCTCACAGATTTTTAATGATACGGTATTTTCTCTCTACCTACTACGCCCTTCTCACATTCATTTTTCTTAAGTGTTTTTGGGGACAAAAAATATATGTTGTTCCCCTTTCAGGCTTGGGGGCATGACCCCGTGGCCCCCCTGGATCCGCTAGGCCGAAACTAACTAGGTCGTTTTCAAACGGTCTGATATTTCAGGTCATAGTTTGCAAACGGCCGGTGTTTTCAGGTAGTTTCATATGGCCTGACTGGGCCAGGCCGTTTGGAAACAGACCGAATTTTCATACGGCCTGTAACATATATTCAGATTTCGACATCTGTCGTAGCATCAAATGCTGATGTGGCGCACTCAAAAGCCGGAATTGGTCCTTGGATGCCGTAAGGACCCTTTTAAGAAATAAGTGACCCGACTGACCCTTAGAGATTGGCCTGAGCTGTGACCGAAATAAGTCTTTTACCGTTTCGCAGGAAGGGACAAAAAGGTCCCTCATATGCTTCTTGTGCAATTACGAAACAAAACAATTTTTTTCAACGAAAACTCAGTGAGTTTTCCTAAAAAATTTATTGCGCATATTCCGTGAATGAAAAGTTGCCGGGTCATGTCAGGTCAGGCTGCCACAGCAAGTTTGTTAACTTGACAGCTCAATCGATATTTATGCAATAAGACCTTCTCGGGTGACGATAAGACATGACGACACTTTATGAAGGAAGCTAGTAAAGTAAACCCGGTAGTTTCTCCATAGGCGCGGGAACCGGGGGGAGGGGGCAGTGGTGGCAGCTTGCCCCCCCCCCCCCCCAACTCTGGGGCCGTGCGGGCGGTGCCCCCACAACTTTCAGACAGAATACCGCTCCTTTTTGCAAATGTTTTCTTTTTTTGTTGAAAAAGCCAAGGGATGAAAAATAAGCGGCCTAAAACCGGCGAGAAAACTATATTTGGGGAATCCTAGGTTGATCTCTATCATGGTGTGACCTCCCCCCCCCCCCCCCCCCGTCTAAAAGTAGTTCCCGCGCCCCTGGGTTTCTCTACGCTATTGAATCACGCTGCTGATTCTAGTAAGTATCTACTACACAACCTTCTCACATTAATTTTTCTTCGAGCGTTTTGGGGGGCCAAAAGATATGTTGGCCCCCTCTTTCAGGCTTTTGGGGGGCCATGGCCCCGGTGGCCCCCCTGGATCCGCCAGTTGGGGCGGTGCCCCCACAACTTTC